AGATTTGTTGTTCTAATCGGAAACCGCCATATTTAACTGTTGAAGTTCAGCATTTTATCACCCACACTGGGATACTGCAGTTGTTTGTGTTAGCTCAACAGTTCTTGATATACCCAGTGCAATGCAAACAATAATGAACTTTGGATGTTCACAAAAGCTGCTATTGAAGCTGCAAAGCAAACACCGGTCTCATGATCCTTGCATTGAGTTAGCTGCTCTCACACACTTGGCACATTGCTGCTCATCTACTACATAGACATACTCTGATGTATCCCTCCTCATCCCTAAATGTTGCTGAGCGAATCAGTGTTTCGTCATATGGTAATTCTGCTATCATCAAGAACACAACCACACACTATTTGAGTGGCATAAGCTCTGTGTAAATCAATGATCACATGGCCAGAGTACACCAGAGTGTAACCCGAGGTCTCCACTTATGCACAATTACAATCACACACACATGACACACAAACTGCGTTTTCAGTATCCAACTTGAGTCAGTAAGTAATTTACACAGAAAGCCTGACAATAAATCCTGCAACAGTAAGGTGTCATTTTCATTTCATATTACATTTACTGTTAAGAGCATTACAATCTCTAATGCCTTAACTTCATATTTTATATCTGTAAAAGGACCTATTACTACAGACTGCAACCGTCTAGTGGAGGACACACGATAACCCCTATGGAACGACAAGGGATCCCTATATCCACACGCTGAGATCTACCTGCGATTTCGTTTTTGAACCCCAATGTCTGAACGTCAAAGTGTGCCACCAATGATTTTCATTCATAGTCTCATTTCCTAGAGCCTCTATGTACTCTTATACTGGGCCACGACACTAAAAATGGAGTGGCCTGCGAAATCAGATGAAGCTGGCACCCACCACAATTGTCGCTCCCTAAAATAATAACCCCACCAATGAAGCTTCTGCCACACTCCACGGGATTTATGAATGGCAAACTGAGCCCAGCTCTCACACTTCACTGTGGCAGCTACTTTTCGAGCTCCCGACAGGGAAAACTGTGGCTGTATAGCAAGGAACAATATGATACCCCACTAAAACTGCAGCACCTGTCCGTGACGTTCTATCGTTAGCTGGGCCTGTTAATCAGTGCAGCTAGCTAAGAGACATACCGTCTTTCCTGAGAACATTTAACACGAACACGGCGCCGTATGCACGTCTAAAAATATTACAGCCTAACACTTTGAAAATAACCCATCCCCAATTGCTATACACATAAGCAGCGACTACAAATTGGTTATTGTAAGGGTGACAGCTAGCTTAGCCAAAATAAGCTAATGAATGCAGCTAGCAGGGCTAGCTGTCAAGACCATAAAAAATAAAAGAGTGAACGTCTCCGTTTAACAAACACTCACATGTTACAATCGGCTTGTTTTCCATGGTATAGATGATTGGCTTTTCCTCTTGACCCGCCATATGTGTTAGCGATAGCACTCCATGAAAATGACATACAAACAGTGCTTTATTATTAGTAAGTGCTTATGTATGCAGTTGTGTTGAATCGATGGGGCCTGTGTCCCCACCGCGCTTCCGGGAAGTACGTAAGCCGTGCGTAATTAAAGGGCCAGCAGGCGCTTTTCGCATGGAGGGATATAAATAACAGGTTTGTCAGGAAGCCAGCATTTTTCTGTGGTGTGCTGTGCACCAATTTAAAGATGTGCGTGTGTTATAAAATTATGAGGATGAGGATTGGAAAACTCCGTTGCGGTTTCTGGTCTTCTTCTTTGTTTTTCATTCCGGCGTAGTTTAGAGCAAGGATCTCACCACGCTACACTGCAGCTTTGATAGATGGTGTTAACAGACGCAATTTAGTCACAGGGACAATACATTAAAGGGATGCAAGAAAACGTCTGTAATTGCTGGTTAAATGTTTTATTTAAAATATTGGAATCTGCTGTCAGTAACCAATACATATTAAAAGAATCAAAGTGAACACACCTTTGACAACATGTCATGTATATTGCAAATTAATGAATTAAAAAGAAACAAACAAAGAAACCAAACTAATAAGACTATTTTATTGAAAACTGTATAAATATACTAAAGGGAGAGGGGAGGGGTTAATACATTGATTTTCTTGACGATGACTTAGAAGGGAGGAATGCAATGCTGCCATCTAGGGGAACAAATATCCACTGCAGCGTTTCCTAATAATTTATGTTTTTAAAAAATATTTGTTAGTATAAAAAAAGTCAAACGCATATGGGAAAAACACAGTTCACATTTCTTTTCATTTTTTCTTAGTTTTTCGTTCATTTCTTCTACCTTTCAGCTTTCTTCCCCTTGTCCTTTTCCTCCTTTTCCCTTCCTCAGATTCTCTCTTTCCACTTTTCGCTTCTTTCCCATTTTCAGGTTCAATCTCAGCTCCATCTTCTTTCCCAGGTCTGTCATCTCCTTGGATCGTCTCTCCATCATCTTCACTTTTATCTCCTTGATTATCTGGGTTTTTTGGCCTACATTTATCTCCCTCTACCACCCTTTCAGCATCTTCCTTTGTACTTTTAGTGCTCTCACCATCTCCCTCTTTGGTGACATCATTACTATCATCTCTGTGTCCCTGTTTTTCCCCCTTCATATATGAGCCTTCTTCTTCCTCCTCCTCCTCTCCCTCTGCCTCCTCTCGCTCCCATTCAGCCTCCCTACCCACACCTTGCCCTCTTCCCGATGTTCTGTCTCTCTCTCCATCATCTTCGGACACCTGAGTCTCCAATTCTGAAACTTCCAGCTCCAGCTGCGCCACCCTGGCCTGCATTTTGTGGTTGCTCGATTCCAATTCCATCATTAGTCGAGCTAATTTAGTTTGCAGAACCTCCAAGTTGTTCTCTAGTCTTTTTATCTTGGTTTCCACTTTCTCTCCCTCCCCTTCCTCTTTCTCCCCACTCTCCTCCAACATGCCCATTTTAGTGAGGATCTGCCGGCCTTTCTCCTCCAGGTGACGTTTGGCTGCAGGGAACTCCGATAATACATCTGTCAGGTCTTCTTTGGACAAGCTGAAGAGATCAGAGTACCCATTGCTTCGGATGTTGGCAGTCCTGCGGTTGCCTGACTTGTTACCTGTAATAAAAGAGAATAGTATTTCTGTAAAAACCTGACAAACCTAAAATTTTTAAGGATGTTACCAATATTTGTTGGTTTATTCAAGACTTTTAAAACCAGCCAATCATTCTTGTTTTGGTCTTAGGAAATAAAGTTAATTGAATATACCCTATACACTATATTGCAATCCATGCAAATCATTGAATTCAGATGTATAATATCAAACACCTGGGCATGCAGAATGCTTCTACAAACATTTGTGAAAGAATTTGTTGCTCTCAGCAGCTCAGTGAATTCCAGCATGGGCCCGTGATAGGATACCACCGGTGCAACAAGTCCAGTTGTGAAATTTCCTCAATGCAATGTAGATGTAGATGCAATGTGGAATGGGGTTCTATGGCCGAGCTGCTGCATCCAAACCATACATCACCGAGCACAGTATAAAGTCTTGGATGCAGTGGTGTAAAACATGCACCACTAGATCCCAGAGCAGTGAAGATGTGTTCTATAAAGTGGCGTATTATGCTTTTCCATCTGTTTTCGGGAATGTTGCCAGGGGAACAGTACTTGTCTGAGTGCACTGTTCCAAGTGTAAAGTTTAGTGGAGTGGGGATTGTGGTGTTGAGTTGTTTTTCAGGAGTTGGACTCAGCCCCTTAGCTCGTGTGAAAGAAAATCTTAATGCTTCAGCATACAAAAGTATTTTGCAGCAATTTCATGCTCCCAACTCTGTGGGAATATTTTGGGGATGGGTCCTTCCTGTTCATACGTGACTGGACACCAGCCCTCAAAGCAAAATCCAATTGATTGCAGTTAAAAAAACAGCCACCTGATATACAGGTGGCTGTTTTTTAACAGCCAATAGTGTGAAGTAGTATATCAAGGAAACAAATAAAGTAGTAATAATCATCCATAATATTTTGAATGTGAAAAAAAGAAAAATCCAACTGACAGCTTCAACTAAACCAATCATAGAGTAGGAATTATAGAGGCTCCCAAAAATATCTTTGCACTTACCAAAAAAGTTTAAACTGTAAATAAAAAAACAGAATATAATAATTTGTAAATCTTATAAACCAATATTCTATTATCAATAGCATTTCAAAATAATGTTAGCATAAAATTGTGGACCCTTTGAAAATCTTATCATCTATATCTGGTCTCCTCAGTTCCGAGATGTTTGTAGACTGTTGTTAACAGAAGAGGGATGTTACAGAGTGTCAAACACGGCCCTGTCCCAACTTTATAGATGTATTGCTGCTATCAAATTCAAAATGAGCTAAAGTCTTTCTTAAAATGTTGCATTTTCTCAGGTTAAACAGGATACATTCTCTGTATTCTATTCAATGTGCAATATGGGGTTGTGAGATTTACATTAAATTTTACACCATGTCCCAACTTTTGGACCTGTGGTTGTATGTATGTTATGGTGTTGTGGACATTTGTAGAGATTTTTTGCAAATTGTAAAAACTGTAATTCAGCTTTCTTCATACACCAACATTCCCGATTCCAATTATACACTTTTAGATGCCTTCAGAAGCAATTTTCTTTCATCTGAGTCATCTTCTTGTGAAAACTCTGAACAGAATTCCACCTTGAATTTCAGCTATACTACAATTAAAAAATTCTTAGTATAATTGGCATTTTAGTCGTAATTCTTCACTTTAAATGTGCAGAAATCACGTTCCCTCCTTTTATAGAGAATACTTGTCTATTTCAAGCATCTCTAACAGTCTGAAAGAATACTCTTACCATTGTTGAGACTAAGTCTCGGTTTTATTTTCTAGACAACTGAAGAAAAAGAGCCGGCCTGCTTCTTGTCCGTGTGTCTCTTCACCAGCTAAACAAATTCACTTGTAAGAGCATGCCCAAATCACTTAACATACCTTTGATGTTAAGGATACTAATTTCCCCAAAGAAATTCCCATCACTCAGCACAGCGAATTCTGTAACCCCATCATCTGCCACAACAGCCAATTTTCCTTCTTTGATGATGTACATTTCATGGCCCACATCTCCTTTCCTGCAGAC